GAAACCACAGATACAGCTCGTAGTCTATAAGCCTGCCAATGTTTCCAGCAAGTATCAAGAAGGGCGCCGCGACGGGTACGTGGAACGCGAGGTATTGTGATTCGTAGTCTAGGTTGAGATCTGATAGGACCTGGAAGGAGGTCTTCGGGTTCGAGAACAGGCTAGACAGGCGTCGCAGTTTGCTCGGTAGCATCTTCGCGGGGGCGGTTGTATAGCAAACTAGAATTAGAAAAGGTGCGAACGAGCGTTGGGATGCACTTGACGACTCAAGCGCTGGTAAGGAGACTGAGGGGGTTGTGTGGACTAGAGACAAGCTAACAAGATCAACAACACGCATGAATGAAGCGACGGAGAGCCTGAGATACGAGAGAAAGAGCTCGTCTTGTTGTAAGGGCTGAGCGCGGCTGCGCCATGAGAACCGATCGCGGTCCGCAGCATTGCGGCGCCTGTGTTACTTTCCAACACCGTCGGTATCAAAGACGAGCAAAGTTGCGACTGTGCCCATCCTTTCAACCCTTTCGATCTTTGCGGAGATTTGCTATTGGGCGCAGCGCGACTGTGCGGCGTTTTGGTGTTGGAAGTTGGTGGCTGTGAAGAGAGATGGCTCTCTAGTAGGGATGGAATTAGATCCCGTCTAGGCCGAGTCCGGATGGCGCGATTTCGGCCCGGCCCCACGTCATCTCCTTCATCCCCTTCTGACCCAGCAGCGCCAGCTTTCGCGACGGCGACGACGGCGACGACGGCGGCCTCTACAACCCTCAATGCGTTACAGTCGTCCTGCTGGTGTGCGCGCATCATTTGTGTTCACCCGGACTTCTTCGGCAGCCCACAGCGCGCGGATCTGCCTTCTCAGCCTCAACCTCCGAGGTCCACTGGCGGATGACGGGCTTTCCTTCGTGCCATGAGCAGTCCACACCGCGACGACCGCAGCTGCAAAATGGAGGAACACACAAGCTGAGGTCCTCCATTTGGACAATGTGACCTTTTTATTGCGTCGTTCCTCAACGTATGCGCCAGCACACGCCGACTCCATCGAACCTCGCGACCGATCACGTCGAGTGTTATCCATTGCTTGGAGTAGCCCAGTACCGTCACAAGTACCGGCTTATCAGCATCCCATGCCCTCGGCTGGTCATTCTGTACAACCGCATGCGATATATGCGTAGGAAGAGGTTCATGATCTCGGCTTTCATCACGCATGATGAACGATCGGCATTACATCTCTGGCAGGAGGCACAGCAAACCACGTGTTTAGTATGCTAAACAAGACGCACATGCAAAGACAGCCTCTTGCATTGCCATCGAACCATGGCTCGGTACGAAGAAGAGGCCGTTGGGTACTGTGTGTTATCCGGCTAAATGTTACTCGCCTGGCGGCGGCGCCCTGGCCTGCAGCTTACCGGTTCACTGCAGTTGTCTGCCACACGCATCACTACCTAGTCGCTCTAAAATCCGTTCTCGCTCGACGCCTCTTCTCATCCTACTCTGTAGTGCCGTTCGCGGTGCGTCGAATACGATCGCCAGTGGTCCCGAGAGCATATGCCCAGATCTACTTTGATTGTGAGGCTGAAGTACTAATGTATCTCCGTTCCACCATCGACGGGTTGATATTACGGTCGCAGGATCTACAGCCTGCAACCTGGGACCGACACACTGGCAGCTTCTAAGAATAGTCGTATTACCTGAAGGCCATTCAACTGTTCCCTATACGAGCTCGGTATATTGCCTGCGTCTGGACTTGCCGGTCCTTTCGGCCGCCGTCTAATATCCCGCGTGTTCATTGTTATTGACAGAAGCACGAAAGCTGTTCCCAAGCAAGAGCGAACTGTGATCTACACAACATAACAGTATACCGAAGCTGATGATCTTTGATACTGTGTAATTGATACGTGTTTCACAGAAGTATCCGCAAGAATCAGTATCAGTCTCAGCCCCTGCGTCGCCTAACTACTACACGACATGATTCCAGCTCTGCGTTCAGCTGTACGTGCAATATACTTCACGTATTACGGCAGCATTCCAAACCAATCTTCGCCTCCCGTGTTCGCGTACCCGGTAGCCAGGCACGTCTTTCTCACCACCTTGCTCGGTCTTAACCAATCATCTAGCCTCCGATCTTACCTCTTGGCTGTCAGCTCCTTCCTTTCTGGCATCTCGGCCTTCCAGATGGTCTTTCGACTTTACACCCGGATATGATACGATGAAGACGGGGTCAGAAGCTTTTGATCAGCGAGGTGAATGCCATATGGTATGACAGTATATGCAGGGTGAACAGCGGCCGTATCCATCTGCATCCTAATACCGGCATTCTGGACGGTCAGTGGCAATTATGTCTCAATCTAAAGTATCGCTGAAGCGAGATGTACTCCTCAGGGTTACTCAAAGGAAGTCTATAAGAGTCTGAATCCACGCACGATCGTTTCACTCATATCAAGTTGTCCACTTTATCACCCCATAATTGTTGCATCATCATCATCAAGCAAGATGAAAGCCTTCTCTTACTTCAGCTATGCTCTCCTGGCATGCATGCCCCTCACGGAAGCTCACCCAGGGATGGGCGATACCATGGCAGAGATGCGCTATCTCGCTGCGCGTGAAAAGCGACAAGCATCAAAAGAGCTCATCGGCGACCTGAAGACACTCGCAGACTCCAAGCTCACTGCCATCGGCAAAGACATCAAAGCGATCATCCTCGACCAGAAGTCTGCGGAGTCTGCTACCATTGATAACTCCATTCCTGCTGGCAACATCGGCAGTGCCGCCTGCAAAGCCGACATGTGCTGTCATTGGAAGTGGCTCGCGTATGAGATGACGGCCAAGTTCAACGGTACTTCCGGTCGTTGCAGCAAGTTTGCTCGACAAGCTGTTCGTCTGGGCTTCCATGACGCAGGCGTATGGTCCAAGAGCAGCAGTTATGGCGGTGCAGACGGCAGTATTCTCCTCAGCGACGAGATGTCGCGTACAGATAACAACGGCCTGTCTGCAATTGCCGACCAAACGAAGAAGTGGTACACCAAATACAACCAGTACGGAATGAGCATGGCGGACATCATTCAATTTGGTGCCAACGTTGCCACTGTTGTATGTCCACTTGGACCCAGGGTCAGAACGTTCATTGGGCGTAAGGACAATAGCAAAGCTGGGCCTACTGGTCTTCTCCCTGGAGAAAAGGACTCCGCGGATAAGCTCATCAAGCTTTTCCAAGACAAGACCATCGACGCACACGATCTAGTCGCGTTGGTCGGAGCGCACACTACATCGCAGCAACACTTCGTCGACACTAGCCGCGATGGCGACCCACAAGACTCTACGCCCGGTGTCTGGGACATGGCCTTCTACCCACAGACGACAAACCCTAACACACCTGTTCGTATCATCAAGTTCCAAAGTGACATTAACTTGAGCAAGGACTCGAGGACGAGCGCTTCTTGGGCGCAGTTTAGCGTTCGAGGTACTGCTCAGCCTCAATGGAATGCGGTATGACTCGCCAAATACCCGAGAAAAGGACCTAGCTAACATATTGATGCAGGACTACGCTAAAGCCTACACACGTTTGTCTCTTCTTGGCGTCAACAACATCAACGATCTCAAAGAATGCACGAAAGTTCTACCGGCAGAGCGCCCTACATTTGTCAGTGAAGACCAGGTTTTGCTGGATAGGTGGCTCGCAGGCGAATTTGATCAGCTCAACAATTTGGTGGACGACGCTATCCAGCTGACTGGCGTGATCTCGTCAAAGGACAAGAAGGCTTGAGTATACTTGAGTGTTCAACTCCGTCAATAGCGACTTCTATAGTCGATGTAGTGTAGTAAATGCATGCCCTTACTTCTTTCATGTCTGTCTCTTATATGTATCCTTAGTCCCTGATTCGTCAAATTTTCCACGTTCACTGATGAAACTTTCCGTGAGTTTAAATGAGCCGCGCAGTCACCGCGTAAAGCTCGCCTATCAAAGACTAGCCGGCACACGCACACACTCACAGGCCATCGCGTTTCTTGCAAACAGACTTTTGACCTTTCCGTACCTTACTATCGAGTCATCATCATCTCTTTCCTCGATACCATTACCCAAATCATCTCCATTCTCGAAACCGATACCCACGTCAAGCTCATATAATGACATGCCTCCAATGCCTCAAGGACGCTCTCTTTCCCGATGGCCTCCCACCCTTCCTCGTCTGCAAGATCTTCGCGGACATCATCAACACACACAACATGGACCTCGAACCGAACAACATCTGCCACGCAGATCTCAGCGCAACCAACATCCTCCTATCACCTACGATGGAGCAGGAGTTGCCACAAGTACAGATTGTGCACCTCGAGGATGTTGCTGTGTGGGACGAGCAAGCCGTTGTCAAGCAGATCATGAATCTGCTTCAATATGTCACAAACGGCGAAGCACGCATCCCAGACGAATTCCGCACCACCAAGAAGGGCGACAAGCTCAAGGATAGTAAGGGAAGGAGTTTGAGGGATGGAGACAGATTGTACTCGTTCGTTGCGGGTTACGACCCACAGGGACAACTGTCGTGGAAAGACCTCAAGAGGAGGTGGAGGAATCTGGCGGATTGCTCGGCGAAGGAGCTATACGACAAGGGGAGGTCGGCGGATGTCAGGGAGGCGCTTTGGAATGGGGTGGTTGGGGATGAGGAGTAGGGGGAGGCGGTGGAGGACGGCGACATAGACGTCATTGTTGACGGAAGTCTGTAGATTCGTGGTGGCTGCAGAAGACATTGGCATGTATAGATAGGAATGAAAGTATGAAACCCGAGCGCGGTATACCTCAAGCCTGCCAACGACGTTAGGGAGCTGATGAATCATGTGGGCTGGTGTGCCGCAAGGTCATTACCACGACGCAGTTGTATGATCGTGAGGACTACAACGTGTTTGTGGTAGCCGCAGATGACACCTTAAGCATACAAGTTTGCTCTGTGTAGATTGATATAAACCCCATCCTCGCCTGTTGTAGCATTGTATTGTACCCAGCTACCTCACCAATGGCTTCGCATTCACGTACAGATTCAGATCGCGTTCGCGAGATCACCATTCCGCAGAGCGCAAAAGAGGAATTCATTGCTCTCAGACATCTTGGATCAGGTCAAGAAGGCTATGTCGTTCTCGCTGTACATCGTTCTAGTCCGAAAACTCTGGCGTCATGCGTAGGTCTCAAATTCAATTCAGGCGAGAAGGTTACATCGATCAGGAAAAGCTTACTCGAGAAGCTCAAAGGAATGGAAGGCGATAGAGATCATCTAATCGCCGCTGTACATGGCTACCCGGACATGGATAGTCCCAACTGGCATGCTCTTGAATACATACCTGGACACAGCATCCAAGACCTGCTGAGAAACCACAAGATCTACAAAGTACACGGGCTACCGCCTTGTGTCATCTTCCACGTCTTTGCTGAACTCGTACGCGTCCAAAGGCACCTCAAAGAGCACGGGTACTGCCATATCGATCTGAAGGAAGGCGGCAACGTCATGCTAAGCAACAAAGATGACGACGTCTTCCCGACCGTAACACTCATCGACTTTGGGGGCATTTGGCCTTACAATCGACCCAAGGAGTTTGAGCACACCCTTTACTTAGCCAGGAAAATGTGGAAGGGAAACACGGAGATTGCTGAACACTGGCGACTAGAGCAGTTCGAAGAAGATCGGAAGCAAGCCAACGATCAGTGCAAAATGATCCATGATCGAGCAGCAGGCGAGATCAAAGAGACAGACTCACTAGAAGACCTTTGGAAGGAATGTGGGAAAAGCTTCGAGGAGCTAAAGCAGAGCTTGACAGATAAGTCGGCACTCAAGGAGTTACGAGAAGCACTAGACGATAAGAAGATCACGGAACAAGATGTCGTGGAGGGCGAAGAGTTGCCTCTGGAAGAGGTTTGGGATGTGGGCATTGGAATGGAGTACATACCCAGGTAAACACGTGGAAGACGTCTTCAAAGGGTGGCGACTGAGACTCATCGGAGTTCATCTGATCCCCATATGTTGTAGCGTTGGAATAGACCAACACTCGTTACCAACTTCTGTACACCTGCTCCATGCACGACAGATCTGCAACAGCTGGATGCGCCCGATTAACTGCCGACTAGTATGTGAAGAAACAACACGAGCAGATTTTCAGACTCGGCGTCATTCCCCGATACAGGATGTTTATCGTAAGACATTACGACGCACATACTCGCCGGAACCTTTCCTGCCGAGTATTCATATACTAGTTCTGAGCCGGCGGGCTACGCGACGTTCGATAGAGCGTGATTTCGGCTCTTACCGAGCTTCTGCGAGACTGTGCGGCTCATCGGCTCGAGTTCTCCCTCGGCCCCAGAATCATGCCTTGTGGATTAATGGCGTTCTCGTCATCGGTGATGTCGAATGTCGAGTACCTATGAGTCTGAGAAGTATAATTTGCACGATCGTCTCGTGTACGACCGGTATCGTGGGTGTGCAACACGAAGGCATTTGTTCCTTGGACAGCCGTCGTTCGCGGGCACCTCCGTTGTTCGCCGCGAGTACTCGATCCGCTTACAAGATGCCGCCGATGTCACCTTGCCGAGGATCTTCGAGTACCACACAGATCCGGAGGCTCAGAGGCTATTGTTGTGATTCGTTCCGCTCCGGTCGCGAGATCCAGGGTTGCCGTTAGCTGTAGCAGCCGCTCCTAGCCTCTGTGCCACGGCGATGCGCGTAGACGGAGAAGGCGCCACGCTGTATTGGGAGATGTCAGACGTGTCTGGCGAAATGCTGTTGACTATGCATGCCTGTCGTAGGCGCTCGCGAAGTCCCGTCACCGCTGCTAGGGATGTCGTCGGCCCCGGGTTTTCTTTTGCCCTGCGGAGGTTTCCCAATCTGCGACTGGCGAACAGATCGTCTCTACCCTGATGACGCGCATCTGATGAAGCTGAGGAAGGTCGTATGGATAAGACGCAGCTTTGGGGGTGCCTCCTGCAGCTCTGTGAGGGCGGTGGTGGTGTTGCTGGGCTGCTCGGGGAAGGCACCTCCAGCGCACGGACCGAATGAAGTTGGTTGCTTCAATTCTCGGCCCCTTCCTCAAGCCCACAGACTACCCCAACCCAATCACCCCACCACATTGAGGCTATAGTCTCGGACTGGCTTCTGGTGATGACACATTCCTCCTCTTACGGCAGAGCAGCTCCGCTCGCCCCTAACGTGCCGCCGTAGCATAGGACACGACCGAGAGCTTGACCGAAGCCGCCGAATCCACGCCATGAACCGCCCCGTCCACCATCGCGAGAGAGACCAACAAGATACCGAAGAGGCCCTCGAGCTCGTCGAGCTTCCCTCGGATGGCCTTGCGCTGTCGACGTGCGTTGTCCGGCGACGATGGCGCGGCTCCTTGATCCTCCGCCGGTGAGCATCCTGCGGCTCCTACCCCGCCTCACTCGCGGCCTCCTACACGACGATTAGCATACCTGTCTAAAGTTAGAACGCATACCGGGCGCTGGAAACTTTGGGCACAGTGCATCGGACTGGGAGAATTCGGCAAACAATCGATTGCCGCTTGCTACATCCACCGTGCAGCCGGGCTTCCCACGAAGCATTGTGAGCCGCTAGGCTCGCACACCCATCACCTTGTCTCCGCCACGATACTGCAACGTCCACCTACCTCCGGGTCAGCACAGAGTCAATCGTGTCTCTCAACGGTCTCTTACCTTCCTCCCCATCTCGTATCGCCACCGCTTCAACCTCCATCCTATATCTTACAATCTCTCTTCGCCTCCCACCCAGTTCGGCTACCTAAGTTGCGTCAGCTTGTCCTCACACAATATGGACACGGAATACATACGCGTATGTGAACCAGGATGGAAAGAGGTTAGTGGCGTGCGTCCCGGCCTGTGTGGTTGAGTTGACAGACGGCGGCAGCTGGCCGACGCACATGGTGGTGCGACTGCTCTCCGGTCCATCTCCGAAGAGATGCTTGACAAGGGAGTACGGAGGCAGGTTCAAACTCCCGCAAAACAAGTGTTCGGCAGTCCGACCAGCGGCATGTCTTGCTCCGAAATCTGCTTGGAACAGACGACGGTGTCCTATGCAACGTCATTGCTGACATGCAATCCTCAGACACCATCTTCTTGCTACAGGCTCACGGCTTCGAGGCCGACGTCTCCTTCTCTGTGCCTCTTCGATATCCACCGCTTGCGGTCGAATTGAAAGCCGGGAGATAGGTGATAGATCGTTCGATTTCGTGCCTCTCCTACCTCGTCCGTCTCTTCGTTGTCCACACCCCCCATTTCCACTGCAGGCGACACGTAGCCGTTCTAGATCTGTCAAGCATCGTCGCACAATGCAAAAGTCAAGCTTCTGCGCGCTTCAGTCTAGGAGATACGGGCCTATGCATCTCTTTGGTAGTGTTGAGTGGTGTGGGTGGCATCGAGAAGTTCAGGGGACGAGAGGGTTCTGCCCGTAGTAGGTCGATGTGTTTTAAATGAGCTCCACGACAACGGTTTGCTGGATCCATCATGGCTCGCTTTCCGCACCCGATTTCGCTCCTCTTCAACCCCGGAGTCTGCGAGATATTGTCGCTATCGCGTTGTAGAAATGCGGACAAGGACGCATTCCACGACGAGAAACCTCAACGAAGTACGAACCGTACCCCAGGCGATCGTCGACTCTAGCTGCCCGGACTAATAATCGGCGCTTCCGGTGACCCAGTCGACGACTATGATCCAAGTCAATCGAGCTCCAACATGCTCTCTGGGAAGGCGTGGCACAGACGTGTACCGGCTTTCAGATTGGGTTTTCGCAGCCTTGCGAATACCGATCGACAACGAGTTAAGCGTAGATGCCCCAGGTTTGATGATGTCGCCCTAATATCCCCGGTTGGCATCTTGGAGGCCACTCGCATCGCCATGTATGAAGTTCCTGCCGCAGAGGCATTTGGAGCTCGTGAGTATTGCGTGCAGTGCACAGAGCGTAGAGCGTCTCGCCGTCGCCAACGAGGTAGCAGACATGGTAATGTGGCCTGGCTGTGAACGAGATTCCTGCAAGTCTCGAGTGATACGACAGCGAATATACCGAACTACTCTTGTGACGAGTTGGTCGTGCTACTGGCGCGTTGACTTGTAGTCGAACAATATGTGCCAGGTACCATATGATGGTGCCCTAGCAGACGATAGCGATGACTGGTGCCAGATCACCCAAGATGGCCATGGCGCGGTAGCCTGTACCTGAGGAGGCTTTGAGAAGCCGCACGTCAGCGACGTCATACCCTGTCTTGAGATAGCGAAGACATCTCTGCACACTGCCCGATGATGCCAGGGCATCTGGTCATTGCATCGAGCTGGGGGCTGTAAGTATTGCTCCTTGGTTCCTTTTTGTTTTCGTCCGCGGCGCTCGCCGCGACGGATGAAGACGGCAGGCCCCACCAGGGCAACTTCCGACATTGCCACATGCGCGTCAAACCTCCTTCCATCTCCTTCTCAACGATCCTCATCTTCTTGAACATCCATGACCATCAGTCACATCTTCCCATCTCTTTTCTTTGTTCCTGTCTAGTCTTCGGTATGCCTCCGGTACTTTTGCTTCTCAGATCTTTTGCCAGATGGTCCATTCATCGTCATTTCATCTCGCGTCTCGCAGACTATCAGGCAAACAACCGCTGTCCCTTTCTCCGACATGAAAGACCCGGATTGCGGTTCGAGAAGAGCAAGGAGTTGGGAGCGGTTTGGTCGCAGGGCGCGATGAGCGTTCAGAGAAAGTCCCATCCCGGATGCAGACTGCGGCAGATTTGACCAGTCGCCGACACTGTGCCGCCTCAGGCCCGTCTTCGCAGCCAGTTGCGCTGCTGCAAGGAGCCTAGAGCAGGACTAATCCCATGGCCGCCATTACGGCACCGCATTCAAGCTTGGCCAGGTGTGTATCGTACCCCGTCTGGTCGCCGTCTTATTGTCTTGTCCCCGTCTGACACGGCAATGAGATGAGGCGTCTTCAGTGCTTCCCTTCAAGACTGCCTATCGTGTCCATCCGCCATTGCCATTGAAGACCGGCCAGCCAGCTGAGCCTTACGGAGGATGATTTGTTATGCGTCCACCCGCCAAATCGCACCAAAAGCTTTCACCTTCGCAACCTGGGTTCCGCACGACGCTCTCGACTGCTGCCGAGTCTGCCATGTCTTGTTGTACCCTCGCATATCCGTACGCCAGAGACGTGTCTGGAATCCTCCTTGTATGCGTGAGAGGCGGCTGAGGCAAGCGATCGACGTTCGTTCGTATGCGAAGGGCGGCGCGTTCAAAGTTGTATGCCGGCCAAGGCGACAACGTTGTGATGCGGTCCTCAGCGGCGGAGGCCCCTGGCTACCTGTCAGTGTGTATTCAAGATAACGGCGCTGGGTGAGGCGGGCACAGAACTTCATACCATGTTGAGACCAGCATGAGCAAACATGCAGGCTGCCTTGAGCGTGGTGTTCCTTATCCCGACGCATCCGGACCGATCGCCTGTTCTGCTGTCGCAAGGGTACTTGTGGTTCCGTCTTTCTCTGCGGGGAGCTCAGCGGCGGACGCAGGTCGGCGTTCGCGGCGCAACGGCTTCCAATGCGAACAGTCTCAGTCCTCGGCGGCCTGCTGTTACTAAGGCAAGAGGGTTCTCTTTGCCTGCTGTCGCTCCAGTCGCTATGTCGCAGAAACTGTAGTCTGTTGCCTCCTTTGTCCTTTCTGGGAGCCAGCGGCTTTACTCTGCGCACTGGGACAAGAAACAAGATCGAGACCTCCTGGACTGCTACGCTGCTTCGCAAGAATGAGGAGTTCGTGAGCTGTCCGAATGTGCCAGTCACGGCGGCCGCAGCATTCCCCAGAGGCGGCGCCGCCACCGCCACAGTCGCCTGCGGTTGTGTGCGTATGCATAGCCACTTGCCGACAGGGCGACAGCCATCAAGACCGCCTACCGGAGAGCGATGTGCGTCGAGTCGG